CCCGCCCCGGCGGCCCCCCGCCTCCCGACGCTGCTCAAGGCTGAGGGAAGGAGCCAAGGCAAACCGCAGACAGAAGATAACCGGGTCTGGGCACCCGCCCCTCGCGCTCGCCGGCGGAGGACAACCCCACAGCAGAGGAGAGCCGGGGTCCCGGCACAGCGCCAGCACCGAGCCGGCCCCGAAAGCCCCCTCCTGCCCCGGCCCCGCAGCCGAGCCAGGCAGGGGCTTGACCCGCCATGAGCGGCGCAGACTTCCTCATCCCGACAGCAGCAGGAAGGCGTTCTGCTGCCCGCATCCCAGGAAAGGGCCCGGCCCCCATCATCCCCTCCATCATCCTCTCCGGCACAAGGGGATATCCATTCCGCCCCCTCCGGCATCCCACCGGAGAAGAAGGGTTTCCCCAATCCCAATCCACAGAGCCAAGGCTGAGCGCGCACGAATCCACCTTCCCTTTGGACCCGGGGGGGTCCCTGAGGAGCCCCACGCGCCGGCCAGCACCAGCGCTCGTTGGTCCTGGACAAACCCCGGGGAAAGAGGAGATGAAGTGCAAAAAGCAGCTCGGAAACAGGCTGCAGCTGGGAAACCTGCGACAGCAAATTCCCAAGCTTAAGACTAACGAAATCCAGATCCAGGGGAAAAAAAAAAAAAGAAAAACAACCAAAAAAATGGGAGATTTAGTCAACAGCTGGCTGCGCAGGCACTGCAGGATTAGTGCGAGGAGTTGCACTGGGGCTTAAGGTCTTGGGATCCTGCTCTGTTCTCTGAGCCAGCGTCCCTGCGGGAGCCGGCAAAGCCAGACGAGGCCGAAATCAGGCAGCCGCTTGCAAGTGGCCAGAAAAAACTCCAGGAAACACGAAGCAAAACTTGAGGGGGCTGCTGGATCCCCACGGCGGGAGCGGGGCACCCCAGAGCTGGGCAGCAGCCCCCCAGCCGTGCTGAGGGCGGGCGGAAGCTTCTCGCCCAGCGAGGAGCCATGAAACGGAGGCTCCCGTGTGGGGTACGAGCTGCCGGCACGAGGGCTGCTGCCAGCTCCTTGCCTGTAGCCCTATGGGCAACGATGGAGGGGACCCTCGAGGCCAGAAGCCGCCTTGGGACCAGCTCCTGCCCCAGGTCGTGCCGCTCTGTGCCTCTCCAGGGCTGCCGGTCCCACGTGTGGGGAACAAACTCCTGGAGGAAGCGTCCTGGGGCAGGGATTAGCGGGGAGGACAGTCCTGCTGCCTCTCCCCCCGGCTTTGCTGCACATTAACCAGCTGTTTACTGTGCAAACACGGCGCGGGAGGCTCCAGCCCACTCCCAAACTCACTGGCGATGTGCAGGTCGCGGCTCCCGCCTGCCATCCCGGCAAGAGAGGGGACAAAACCTCCGGAGAGATGTCCCCCGCTCAGGAGCCCTGCCTGCCTGCCGGGGACGGGGCTGCTCTCGGCTCGGCGCGGAGAGCCGCATCGCTCGCTTGGGGTCAGCTGGACCCTGTCCCCGTCACCCTCCCAGCGACAGCCTCGGCTCCGTGGATGTCAGGTCACCGCTGCCTCGCCAGACCCGGGGTGCCGGTGGGGCTCTCCGACCCAAACACCCCCTTTTTTAAAGGCCTGATGGATTTTGCTCCCCTCTTCTCCCAGTCCTGCCAACCCCAAGCGCACGGGGACACAGGAGCCTCCCCGGCAGCAGTCCCTGTCACCTGGAAGAGCCTCTCCGTGTCTCCAGCTCCCTCGGCTCCACACTCCTCTCCCCTTGCTCATCCAGGCCGTATCTCCGCCAGGAAGAACAGCGCTGGCTGCCGGACCCCGCGGCTGCCGGCACAGCGACCCGCGGCACTGCAGAGCCCCATCGCTGGGGTTGGCACCAAGCCGCCTCTCCGGGAGCTGAAATCTGGCCAAACCCCGATCTTGGCAAACGGCCGCACAGTCCCCGCTGACTCCTCGGGGCCGACGCAGAGCAAAACGCAAACCGGAGCCGACCGTCTCCTCTCGACAGCTTCCCCCACCTGGGAAACCACGCTCCCGGAGACGCTCCGCGGCGTTCCCGGCCTCCCCGCTCCGCCACCAGCCCCCGGCACCCCAGGGCAGCCCTCCTGCCACCGAGGTCCCTCTGAGAAGCCCTCGGCTGAGCGGGGCAGTTTTGCCGGCTCAGATCCGACGCACTCATCCGCGCTCCCAACGCTGCCTTTTCTCAGGCTCCGGCCAAGCTAAATTTAAGCGTCTCCAGGGATGAAGCATCCGTCGCTTCCCGCGGGAGCCGGCTACATCGGATCAACCCAACCCTCCTGAGGGTCCCCGGTGCTCAGGGACAGCCCCCCCGAGCCACGGGGCCGGTGGAGGATCGCCCAGTAAAGGTGACGCAGGGCTGTGACACGGCGGGAGCCCGTCCCAGAGGCGTGGGCACGGGGATCGGCTCCTCGCCCCCGCGGCAAGAACCGGCGAGAACCCCGGCGAACCCTCAGGTGCCGCAGGCGGCGAGTCGCTTTTTCCACCCGGTCGCCGGGCCGTACGCTC